GACTTTAAAATTCTACATCATGCAATTGCTTTTATGAGCTATCAGGCTCATGTTTTGGTCTTTTCTATGATTTCTTGTAATCCACATTTCTGCCTGTTAAAGGTTTTCGTTCTAACCTTGGAAATGGTTAAATGCAGTACTACAGTGTGCACTTCCATCAAGGAAACTACCAAGACTGTTCTAGATCAGTTTAAGTACCTAGATCAAAAGACTGAAGTAGACTGTGTGGAAGGTAGGAACACCTCTTAGATGAGATTAGCCTCTGAATAAGTTTCTGAAGATGATTATAGGTTTTGTCATCACTGACACAGAAATACGTTTGCTGCAAGATTTACTGTTGTCAATAGTGAGAGCACTGTTTGTGTTCCGGTTTTCTCTAATTTTTCTTAGGTTTCCTTCACAGCGAGATGAAAGTGTCTGTCCTCACCCTGCTTTTTAAAATGGTATCTATACAGGCAAGTACTGCATAGGCATCTGTCTAGTGAATCTAGTGGCTGACATATCAAATTGTCAAGTAACTTTGTTTTCCAATGTTGATCGAAGCGCAAATGAGGTATACTGTTTTCCCTGCTACTGAGAAGCTATTCCTGAACCTTCCTGTTCGTCAGATGCCATCTTGTAGAGTAATTTTATCTCTTATCGGTTGTGTCTTTCTACTCTCGAACATGATTATCATTTAGCTTAATGATTTCTTTCATCTTTAGTGTTCATGTCTTTGTATTTTAGTGGATCTCCATCTTATTTCCTTTCAATATTTGATCAGTTACAGTAATTGAGAAAGCCTTTTCTTCCCTGTTGAGAGAGAGATTGTTCGCTCCTTTGGTCACCCTTTGCCTCTTTCAGAGCAAGTTCATCTTTTCATGTGTGTGTGGTGTTTGAGCATGGGTAAAGAAAACTGCATATAGTATTTTAAAAATAGATCACGGAAGCCTTTTATGTATTGATATCAATAGATCTCTTTCTCTTTTGCAAATACCTCAATTAGGATACCTAATATCCGATAATATCCAGTTCCACCTTTTTGTCACCTGCACCTGATGACTTCTCAGTCTGTAGTAGAAATTCTTGATTAGTTTCTAGGTGCATGAATTCAGATTTGGTGCTCATCCCATTTCTATTACTCTTTGTTTACTCAGTCATAGAATAAAATAGCATAAAAAATGATGCATTAGCACACTCCTTTTTTTCATTGGGAACGCTGTTTTTATTGAATTAGCTAATTTAAGTCACACTCATGATTTTGATACTAAGATGGGTTTTATTAATAAACACAATACTTGTTCTTTGGGAACTCCCCAAGTAGTTAATATCTAGAACTACTTGGCCTTGAAATGTATCCCATTGTCGGCTGCCTTTTTAGGTAGTTTCTTGCTCACCTCAAACTTATTCCCATCATTTCCATCTGACGAAGTACTTAGAGTTATTATAAGGTTAAAATTTCAACACAAGCAGGAGATCTGTGTTCAAAATCACTTATTGGATAAGAAAATCAGGATAGTTTTTTTAAACACATTTTTCTTTATGTTCAGCGTTTCAAAATGGGGTTTTTGCATGCTTTGGATTAACAAGTCTGCAAATGCCTTGTCTCCTTTCCATTTCTCATTTATGAATGTATGGGATGTATTTGCTAATTATCTGATATAATCTCTGAGTTTTACTTGTATCTGACTTGTGTTAGTTTCCACTTTCTGAAACGTGAAGCATTTCCATTATCTGTGTTTGTTCTTTCCATGATCAGTATCATAACTGTTATTAAAACCTGATGTAAAATATTTTAGATTCTTATTTTTGTCTTTATGTTTTAAGATATCCTACTTCTGCTTTCTTGTTCTTGTGCACTCTCTTGTGCTCCTTCTCTGCCTAGACAATCTTTACTGTCTATTTTGACTTTCCATGCAAAGTCTAACTCAGGATGACTGCTGACACTTTACATTTCCAATGCTTCAAGCTCCTATATCAATTCTGTTACCAACTTAACTTTTTCTCAGGCATCAGAGACTTTCCCTTATGACCTCCATCCTTCCCCTGCTATAAGAGACATTCACTTGTGGGGGAAATTCTCAGTGTCCCTTATGAGAGAACTTATTCATCAGACAACTGAAGAAATTACTAGCAATTCTGCATGTAGTGTGTAGCCACCTGGGAATCCTACAAGCTGTTCCATGCTATTTGGGTTATCCAAATGCAGCATTTTAAAACTTCAGGCTGTGCCATTAGCTAAGAAAGGTAATAAGCAGAGATGCTTGTACAATTCTCTTGATAATAATGATAATAATAATCATCCTCTAATATGTTTACATGAAACCCACTGAGCAGGACAGTTAAATTTCACAGATGTTGACAATTCACAATGATGTCCTTCTCTATGTCTTTCTGCCTAAACTGCTTTGTGTGCTGTTACCAAGAAAGAAATGTACCGTAACTCACCTGAGACACAGGTTTTTATTAGCATTTTACTGCAAGTTGGGTATGATGGAACTTAAATTTTAGAGCAACATTAAGCTAAAAGACTGTTAAAATATGATGCTGTGTTCATTTAGTAATAAATTTGAGTAGTTGCAGATCCTTTTTATATTCAGGTTGTTATTTTGTAATAAAATGTTGTCAGGTACGCTGGGATCTTTCAATTACTAGGACAATGTACTGATTTCTTCCTTCTAACTTTAGATTTGAATTAACAAGTCTCCAAATTGATTTACTTCTAAACAAGATTTAAGAAAAACAGTACTAGTATTATGTTTCATTTATCTATTTTGTATGTTTAAAGTTTAAAGCAATCTGTGCTGCAGGAAAGCTGGAGACAATAATTCACCACATCTCTGAAGTCGTTCATGTGGTTCTAGGTATAGCTAAAATGCACGTTTGTGAAATGCTTTTATGGTGGTGAATGAACATACAACTGTATCATAAGAAGGTGATTTGTGATGACTTACCTGTTAGATGTACGTGGCGTGTTTAGAAGTTAAATATTGACAAAATTCTAGTCAAACATAGAAGTCGTTAGGGTAGATGGTTGCTACGATCGTGATGCAAGTAGCTCCAAATATGTTCCCATGTTTTCACACTATTGGCGTCCCCATCTGCTTTAATGAAAATGTGGTTTCCGAAATCCCTCGTTTCTTTTTAGGTAAGCCTTAGATTAATACTTGTCTTTGAAACACTTGTCTCAAATTTGCTGGGTTTTTATTTCCATAGCTGTGTATTTGGTTCTACCATGTATTCCTTTCTGATTGCATCTTCCCAGTGCATTTTGAATGACTCTGCTCATCTCCACTCTTTATGTACCTATGAGCTACAGCAGCTCAGTCCTTGTGGTCACTCCCTCTTCTGCTGCAGTCTGTTTCTAGACAAGATTATTTTTAGACATAAATCTTACCAGCATTTCTGTTTGTGGCTCGTGCGCATCATTTGTAGTCTACACTATCGTTTCTGTTCTTGTCTTGGTGTTGAGCACCATTGCAAGTCCAGCGTGGGTAGAGCAGAGCTCCTGTTCTTGAAAAAGTATCTTGAACTTCTGGAGCCAACATTTCCTTGGTCTGGCTCCTGCTGCTGAAGGACCAGCTGCTGTGGTACCCAGTCTTGACAGCCAGAATGTAACGAAGAGCAAATCTTATGAGGAGAGGCTGAAGGAACTGGGGTTGTTTAGCCTGGAGAAAGGGAAGCTCAGGTTTAGAGAAAGAAAGAAACAAAAAGAAGAAAACACTTCCTGCATGGTAGAAAAAAATGTTTCTTTCATTTGCTGAAAAACAGGAATAGATTTAAGCAGCTATATTCTTTAGAAGATTTCTTGTCTTGACAGATACCTGTATAGCCAAAGGATAATATAATTTAAAATTAATTTTTTTTTATTTCCCCTAAAATAAACATCTGTAAGGTGAAAAAAGGGAAGATTCATTTCTCTCAAATGGGCCTTGGAACCTACTCCATTTACTATTTCACCATTATAAATTGATTCTTGGCAATGTATATACTAGTGCTGCAGATGCAAGCAATTTCCAGATAAAACAGAAATTATCAATCATTCTTGTGACTAATGTGTGGAAAGGGAGAGGGGAGGAAAAGTGATTCCATGGAAATTATATTTTTGGGAGTACTGCTTCCCAGCACCTCCTGAGACTAATTTAATCTGGCAGAAGGATAACTTCAGCAGCGGTGCCTGCTTTAATGTGCTGTCTAATTAGTCATGAGACCTAGTTTTCTTTTTGGCAAGCAGTAAATAAGCTTGGGTTTATTTCTGGATTACAGGACAGTAGTTGAAGTAACCATTAGAAAAAACATTTTGGTAAACATTTCTTTGAAAACACCCTCATTTCTGAAAACAACAGCCCATGAATTTCGAGCCAAGTGAGGCAGGGATCCAAAGGAAAAGAGAATTATTGGTAATAAAATAAATATGTAGTGATCAAGAACTGTGTTGTCCACGCAAAGAATTGGACCAGCTGCACAAGCTTCCTCCTGGCATCCTCAAATCCTGATGTTCATCTTTGACAAGAAACCCATTATGTTTGTGTGTCATTATTGATAAAAAGAGTGATTGGGCATTGGAATGGGCATTCTCACTGTCCCTGGAGGTGTTTAAAGAAAGACTGGACGTGGCATTTAGTGCCATGGTTGAGTTGACATGGTGGTGTTTGGTCATAGGTTGGACTGACTATCTGTGAGGTCTTTTCTAACAGAGTTGATTCTGTGATAACATCTTTTAAGATAGACACTGTTGGCAAGTGGGATGGATAGGTGGGATGGGCAGCTGTGTGCTGAGTGTGGGACAGAGAAAGTAGGTAGTGACGGGCAGCTGTGCTGGCAGAACAGCAACTCATGACGTGGAGGCTGCCCATGTCCTTATTTAGATATTTTTAAGATAATGTTGAATCAGTGGCATCTTTTCTTCTCTGGCCTGTTTAAGGATCACTTGTTTGCTATTTGACCTGTTTGGTGGTTTTGTTGCTGTGTTCGCGTTGTACAAGCACAGAAGTAACAAGAACTTCTCTGTTTCTCTGCAGCTTTTACGAGAGTTGAAGCACCCAAACGTGATTGCATTGCAGAAAGTTTTCCTTTCTCACAGTGACAGAAAGGTTTGGCTGCTGTTTGATTATGCTGAGCATGATTTGTGGGTAAGTACAGATTTCCCTGTGTGTTTGTAGTAAGAGCTTGTTCAAACTGACCTGTGTGTGACATACCATTATATAGGCAGACATGCATAAATTTCTTGCTCTGTAATTAAGGGTGTAACTGACGTCCTGTTATTTTTACACTTTAAAGCGTGCAAAAGACTATGTAGAATTTTTCGAAGTCAGATTGCATTTTGAAGTGAAAAGGATTTTCTTACAGGCTTTAATTGGAGTTAAAGAAAGCATTTCTAATTGAGATCTTCTAAAACTGAGTTTGGAAATCTGTTTAATATTTTTTTCTGCCGTCTTGCACATGCACAAATGAAAAAAATAAGGGACTGTTTTACAGAGTTCTCTAACTGAGATGTAGTGCAAGTCACCAACATTCAATCAGCTATATTCAGAGAATTTGGGACAGTATGAGTGGAAAGAAAATAAAAAACAGTAAGCTAATTGGGTCTACTGATGGACTATCACTACATGAAAGAGGCGTAGAGACTTAGATGTCTGTTTTTAAGTTTCCAGCAAAATATAGTATGATTTGATTTAATCTGTTGGAGAGGATGACAAAAATGTATTGAACTCAGTTGAACTCAGATGCAAATATTCAAGCCCCACATCTGTTAAGAAGATGTGAGTTCTGTGAACTTGGATTTGTGTTTAAACCCAAAAGATATCAAACACCAAGAATAATCAATATGTTTATAATTCCTTTGAAAATATTGGCAAGGACAGGAAGTGTTAATATTAATTCCAATATTACTTTTTAAGGCTTCAGTAATATAGAAGTTGCTATTACTAATGTTAGTGACAAATTGCTCAATTTTTTTGTACTTAGATCTTGAGCTGATGAGTATGTACTTGTAAATGACGCAAAATTGTAGTTGGAAGGAAAGTAAACTTAGACCATGCAAAAAGACACTTCTGGCTCAGAACAAGTAAAGTCATGGTATTTCATTCACCTTCATAAGCTTAAAAAATATTTAATTTTATTTCTCTTACGGGCTAGCACTTCTGTATTTTACAAGTTTTCTTCATCAATGTTCAGTGTAAACTGAGAGTTTTGTATTTCTTGTAACTGGTGGCAGTGATGATAAAGAGGAATGCATCAGCTAAACCTCTGTATGACAGAATTTATTTGTGCATCAAATGAGTTTACCCATTTTATAGAACAATCGCAACAAACACATTTTACTGCTACATTTATTACCATGTTTTAAACACCTTTTTTTCTAGCCTTTTCCATTTGATTTTATTTTGGATGTGTGGTTTTTACACTACATAATGATTTTTCACATGATTTAAGAGCTTTAGATGAAGAATCACTGCAGCTTGTTCTTACCACTCCTCACATCTGGCTGGGTATTGGATAAAATCTCAGTGATGTTAATTATTTTCTATTATTTAAGACTGAAATGTTTGTTACAACAAGGTATTTGGTGTGAACTGGTCTCCCACTTCCTTACTTTCTCATGTTTGTTTTGGTTTATTTTTATGGGACATGCTACACAAATCATTTCTCCTTTCCTGTATAGTTACCCATGTTTCCTCACTTCTTAAACCTTTGCCAGGAATTTTTTCCTCCCTTGCATAAAGTTGGCCATGTTCAAGGCACTCTTGATTCTGGCTTAACCTTGGTCCTCATTTCCTTTACCGTCAGCACTTCCCAAGCATCGCACTTAATTCCCCTTTTGTCTCTTTTGCTCACTCCCAACTTTGTGTCTTTTTCCACGCTGCCTCCTACACATGGAACAGCCTCCCAATTAACGTACGTAAAGATCCTTCACTATCCTCCTTCAAAAAACTCCAGAAAATCCACCTATTTTGTAACGCATTTCAGTAATACCAACCACTTGTCATTCTGTCTGTGTTGTGTTGTGTTTTGCATTTCCCATGCTTTACAGCTTGTGCCCTTTCAGCTCTTTGGGGCTGAATTTGTGGCAGGGGATTAGCACATTTTTTTTTATTGCTTAGCATCATGTGCTTCCCCAGCACTACATAAAACCAAAATAAGTCTATTTATCGTGGGTATGTCAGTTTGTAAGGATTTAAGTTTTGGAATTGTAGGTGTGTTGTCACTAGAGATGGAGATTCCTAGAGACCAATGTTTTGAAATGCAGGTAGCTTAGAGTTACCTACCAGAATCTGTAAGTATGGGAACTGTGCTTCTGTTCAAAGCTGCCCAGCTTTAGTAACTCCTATTGGCTTCAATAAGAAAGAGTACGTGCTCATCACGTACAAACATCAGATTAATTAAAATCATTATATTTTTCAGCTTCTGTACTGAGAACATTTGGCAAGAGATGAATAAACTATATTAGATGCTATCTTGTTCTGTTAATTTTCTAATACTGAAAAAAAATTGTCCTGTTCTAATGAGGAAAAGTGATGGTGCCAATTAAGCTTATTAAAAAGTTCTTTTATGGTGAGCAAGAATTTTTTTTTTACTTTGCATTTAATTTATGTGAATTAAACTGTTCGAATTTGAAATTTGAGATTCGATAGCTGCATACTTCAACATTTTTATAACATCTGTTGATACCATTACCAAGGGATGTAGAAAGCTATGCTAATTTGAGCTACTTTTGACAGGTGTTGATGAAGACCGATTGTGTTGTTCTTGCCTACTAACTTTTTTTCCAGTTTTAATAACTAAGTCTATCAAAGATATCTTCTTTCGTTATCTCTCAGCTTACATTATACAAGACAACGCAAAGCCATTCATGAGATTACCATACAGAATATCTAAGAATATAGACATTGTTTTGACAAATTGATTTATAATTAGTTTCCTTTAATTACCAAAATTCTTAGTGTAATACACAAATAATTTCCTTATGATTTTTCTTGACTATTTGTCTCTGTCAAAGAGAACCAGTAAAGTTCTCAGGCTGTAGGATGTGCCACACAAATTAATTTACAGTGTATTGTCTGCAGTGTCATCACTGCTTATATGTGCTCATGCTGTGAAGTAAAGATGCCTTAGCTTGAACCTCAGTGTAAAAGGAGCACCTGATACAAGGTTAAAAATATGTGTCCCCTCAGGTGCTATTGAATATCTTAATTCCTGATAGCTCACTTCAGTTTCATGCCTTTATATTACAATGGCCTGAAACTTTCAGCTTCAGATGTTCATAGCCCCAGAAACAACCATCTTCTGATCCTTGTCATGTGAGGGATGTTCCTTTTTCAATATCTGCTCATAAGGTCCTGAATGCTCTTAATCCAAATTGGACAATTTAGCAAACACAAAAAGAAATAAGCACTTAGCTAATGCATAGCTGAGTTAATCTTAAATCCCTGAGTGGAACTGATACTGTTTTTAAGTTACCACTCCAGTACATAGTTAGAACTTCATAGATTTACAGAACTGTGCATGGAATAGTGTAACAAGAATGAGTGTAACTGCTTCAAATGATACGTGTGTTTTTCTGCTATGTTAATTTTTGACCTTTAAAAATAAAAAGTTTGTTTTAAATACTAGAGTTATTGATATTTTATCACTAAATTTTCCTATTGCACTTTAATGTATGTTCTTATTTTACGTTAGTCTTAAGTTGTATACTACTCTCCATAACTTCCTATGTGAAGCTCATGCATTTTAAGACATTTTTCAAATTCATATCAAATTTATACATTACATGCATGATGTTTACTTAAACAGACTTTTAAAAAATTTGGTACAAATGAGATCTGCTCTAGAGGTGAATTCTGTTTGTTGTCAGTCTAATTACTTTTAGCCATTGGAGAGGTTATAATATTGAGAACTTTTCTTTTGTTCCCAGCTACTCTCATACTTGTAAAGCATCAGATTTTTAGGATTGAAAATATTTCTAAAGCACACATTTTTAGTACCACAGATAAGCACACATTCGATGTCTTCAATTTTATAGCCTCTGTATTTTTAAGTAGGATTTTTGATTCTAAGCAACGTTTTTGTTACACTTCTTTTTTTACATTCTGAATTAATAGTTTACCTGCCTTTCCTGGTTATGGCACAGAGTTAATTCTCAGACTCATTTGTGTATATAACTTCAAATCTCTGAGATCCCCTTTTCTAGAAATGTAACTAAATCAGAAGCTTCTGGATGGTTTTTATCTCATTCTGAAAAAGCAACATTTTTATCACAGTAAAATATGTTGAATGTGTTTTATAGTAATAAAAACCATTGTTGATTCTTAATGAGTGAGTAAATAAGTAATTACCTGTGATTTGATAATAGTGAATCATGATATATTCACTATTCAAGACCAGTTAAACCATGATCTGGATATTTTTTAGGTTTGGTTGATTTGATTCTCTTATTATTAGAGTCCGGTGATCTCTAACAACTAAATGCTTAGCAGCAAATAACACTGAGAAGTGTGGAGTTAAATTCATCTGGAAATTATTGTTCATGATAATAAAAATGTGTGGGCAGACTGGCTTTGTTCTATATGAAATTCTTGTTATGTATATATTCTACTTTTAAAAATGTAGGGTAGAGATTATTAGGATAGTCATGTGTACCTAAAAATAGCCATCACATAATGAAAAGGAGAAACTATTCTTCATACATGTGAATTTCATAACACTAGTTGACTCTCTCAGTATGCAAATAAATACACTTAATTTCAGTTAACAACATTTTGAATAAGGTTCTTTTATGATAAATGAAATTATGAGTGTTTCATACTGATTTGTGCAATTTGCTTAATCTCACAAATGTTGTAGAATAGCTCCGAGTTTTAACATATTCCTTAAAGATGGTGTAATCAGTTATAATTCTTTCTTCCACAGGCTTCAGTTTAGCTCTCAATAGTGAAGATAATTTGCGTGCTAGTTGATCACAAATATCTTTATATACATGAAAATACTTTTCTCAGTGTAGCAGTTTTATTTTTTCTCTTTTGATTTTTCTAAAGTCATGTCTATATTTTTGGTTTAATTCCATCCTGCTATGCTAGGTGATTCTTTGTGTATTCTTCTCTGTTTTATGTTTATTTACCACTATAGGATTCTA